AGACACAACACATTTACACGTGAAGCAATATTTTTCACAACTAAATGGGATCAGCTGCTCATCAATGGGGACATTAGGCCCAGGGTTGTAAAACAGGGGGAGGTGGTGCACACACTTATCCCACACTGTCCAAGCAGCTAGCTTGTCTTTCTGCCGTCGAGCTAGTGTGTCGTCTCGGTTATCAAAACGGATAATCCTGGAAATTTTGTGGAAGTTTTCCAGAGACATTGATGCACGGAAAGGTTTCTGCATCCCACAGGGATTCTGTGGATTCCCCTTTGGACCTGAAAACTCCTGCAAGGATAAGAACCCCAAAGTAGGCCTTTGGGCTTCTTAGATAAATTTGGTCCATCTCCTTCCACCTCTCTCCAAAAACACACCTTCCTTCTAGATCTGCAATCCAGAATAATTTCTGGATGGAATCTGGGATGAAAAGCTCCAATGAAGACTTGATGTCCTGCACATGAGTAACTGTCAGCCGTGTTGGCCCTGGCTTATCACAGTAACAGCTCTGCAGGGTGGCTCATTTCTTGGGCAAGAAGACCATTCAATTTCACCAGTTATTGACATCCATATTTCTTCACTTGCTGTCTGGTGGGCTTGTTCTGGTCCTGGAGCTGGCTGCAGATGGGGTACTCGTCTTCGTTTTGTTACTAAATGGTGCTCAACCTCATCCTCTTCTTCAAAGTCACTGTCAGACTCTGAATTTTCAGAAATGTGAAATATTCTGAAACCTCTTTGTCAACATCGTCATCCGAAGCCCCTCTCTCTTCCAAAATCAATTGGATGGCCCTCGCAGCAGATAATCTTTTGCCATCTTGATCAGTTGTGATAAAGAACCACACTGGCAAAGTCTTATTTATAGTATTATGCCCCTAATTTGCAGGTGGGACACGGTATGAGAAAATAAAATTTGGATCCCTCAAGAAAGAGGGTAAAATGTGCGGGAATGTAAGAGCAGATGGTGTCGATAGTTGGATTTTCAACAATGTTGCAACTTTGTGCGCGAGCAGGAGGGGAAGAAAACACTATCAGCAGCACCAGAAAGGAGGAAGACAGAGTGTGGGAACACAGGACCTACACTTTCAACACTTTTATTAGACCTGGGTCCAGTGGACCCGAACACCTTGTATGTAATGTAAATGCGTGGGGGGAGGTACAGTATGAGGTCATTGAAAATTAGTTCGGATTTAAGTTCTTCACAGAAAATAAGCCAAAGCCAATGAATTTCAGGTTGAAAAAATAATTAATTGTTTCATTTTTCTTTTGAAAAAAACTGAAAACGGGTCTCACAGACCCGAACACCATACAAGGGTTAACTGAAAAGTACAGTTTTTAAAGTTAATGTTGCTGAAACAGCAAAATAATTTTTTTAAAAAGTATATCTGATTGAGGAATCACTCATCTTTGGAAAAGAGAGTTTATTACAGAGAAATGGCCAACACGTTAACGAGCTAACTGCGCTAACGCACTAGCTCCCACCAATTGAGCATTGCGTGGCACATCCAACATACTGTTTTACTTTAGTCCATGACGCGCTTACCTTCAGGGTTATACTTCACATGAAGACTGAAATAGTTCCAAACACCAGATCTCAATGAGGGTGGGGGAGGTTCAATTTCAGGTAGCGCTCAGTGGATCTGCACTTGACAGTGCAGCCTAGGCGGAGTAGTCGCATGCAGATCCACTGAGCACTCAACACAAACAGCATCATTAGAAGAAAAGTTGATAAAAAATATTTTTAAAAATTGTATTGTTCGATACATATGCGTGCCGAACCTAAAGCACTGTATTGAACCTAAACTTCACGTGTACCCTATAGGGTTTTATTATTTTCACATATGTGTAATAATAGTGTGTGTGAGGTGGTATATTTGTCTCGGCTGTGCGGACCACTTCAGTTTGTCTTTGGCAGTTTATTCTTGTCACTGGATGGATATGCAGAAGTAAAATGATGAAATTGCAGCACTTTTAGTTGTCAGAAAGAGGAAGGAAGCAGCAGGTTAAACTGAGAAGTTTGTATCTCGAACACAGTGAGATTACAAAGCAGAAATTCTGCAGTCCGATCACATTTTAGGCATTTACAGTAACTGTGCACACTAACTATAGTGGACAGCACCATCAGATACACATCAGAAATCATTTCTTGTATATATCATTTACCTGCTGATGTGTTTGAACTTGTCTGCAGCCACAGCAAAGAGAGGAGGACACCAACCATGAGACTGAAAGGAGCACAAGCTGCAATCATCTGTCTTCTCACTTTGTCAGGTATTTTATATTTACATTTTCATATATTACAGATAACAGACTCTTGATCAACTATAAGAAAATACACAGAAATATAGAACATTTGTAGTTTAGTACTTTCTAAATATTTTAAGCTCCAGCTCTGTTTATGCAAAAGTTGAAGAGAAGATAGTTTCTGTTAAAGTTTTCTCTGCCTCCATTTTGTCACATTAGCAAGAAAACACACAGACACAACACAAAGAAACAAACTGAGTTAAACAATGAAGCTACACTAAAATCACACAAAGGTCCAAGTGTCATTTTAATGATGTTGATAAACCACCTGAACGCAGTCTGTAAAACATTTCTTTAAATATTTTGAACCGTAAATTGTCTCGACCTCTCTTATAGCGAGCTTGTATCCTCAGTTACACAATGAGTACTTTAAATGTGTTGAGTTTACAACTGTGAATGCAGTCACGCTGGGACTGCTTGGTCTTATTCTGACTGACTCAGCTGTAACCTGCTTTTAGTTAGTTTCAGCATCAGTTTTTTTTCGAGAGCACTTTTCCTGTTTGACAATTCTTCCCGCAAGTGCATCATAAATAACTGCTCAGATGCAGGTTGACCAATGTTTTAAGAAACTTTCCCATCAGATGTAAAGTTCCACACATCAGTTTCTGCTTTTCTCATTTATTTCTGTCACATCTCTTTTCTCACAGAAACTTTTCTCTTCAGTTCAGCCTCCTCGTGGCTCACAGGTGAAATTCCTTCGCTGCACCTTCAGAGTGTGTTCCTGCTGCTCACAACAGGTAACTGCAGAGCGGACACCTTTAAAAGCAGAAGAATTCATTGTTTTGTTTCTGATGTGTTTCAGCAGTTCAGGGTGAGGATGGTTGGTCAGTGACTTACACCTCTACTCAGATTTGTGCCTTAAAAGGATCAACAGTGGACATACGCTGCACCTACACGTACCCATCCAGAGTGAATGGGAACGTGACTGTAGTTGAAAAAGCTGTGTGGTTTACTAAAATGAAAGGTGATGAATTTGTGGATGTGAGGACAGAGGCAGAGTTTACAGGTCGTGTTCAGTATCATTGTGATAACAAAGACTGCACTCTGAGAATCACAGACCTGAGAGAGAGCGACTCAGCTGAGTACAAGTTCAGATTTGTGACAAACCAACCAGGAGGGAAATATACTGGATCACCTGGAGTCACTCTGTCTGTCACAGGTCAGATTTTTATATTTAAATGTTTTCAAAATAAAAAGTTTTGCTTAAACTTTGGGAAACTACAAGCTATGAATGTTGTGTATATTTTATATTTTGCTGTGTATAATGTTTAGTTCTCCAGGCACAAGTGATAAAAACTTGGCCAACCTTGTATCCTACTTGGAAAAAGGTGACGTGTCAGAGCAGCTGTCATCTACCTGATCCTCTTTCCTATGTCTGGTACCAGAATGAAGTGAATATTGACAGAAAGGAGTCTTCTTTTGAAAATTACTTTGATCAGACAGACAGCATTTCCTGTGCTGTAAAAGGATACGAGAAGCTTCCCTCTCCTCCAGTGTGTGAGTTTACTTCAGTCTTACACTGACAAAACATCATTAATTTCTGTTTCTAATAAAAAAGATGTTGCTGCATCTTCATGTTTATTTTATATCTCAGTAAAGCCAATAAATCAACAATAAGTTCCAACAGTCTCCTGCTCTGTGGTGCTGCAGTCAAATCTTCCTCTAACAAATCTGTTTCATATATTTTAGGTGTTGGTGATAAAACCTGTAACAGAGTGACTTACACCAGCAGAAGCATCTGTGCCCTCAAAGGTTCATCAGTGGACATTTCTTGCATCTACAGTCATACACATCCTGCTGTGTCCAAATTCTGGTTCAGTCCTGAACGTAGTCATCAGTGGCAGCATCGCTCACACCCCGAGGACCTCAGAACAGACTCCCACTATGCAGGTCGTGTTGAGGTCATTGAAACAGAGAGAGGAAGCTCCACTCTGAGAATCAGAGACCTGACAGAGAGGGATTCAGCCGAGTATCACTTTAAATTCAAAACACAAAGCTTTGAATGGAAGAGTAGTTTACCTGGAACAACTCTGAGTGTCACAGGTACTGAAGAACACACACTGTTAGCAGGTTTTTGTTTTTGTGATCTCAGATATCAAAGGTAGACTTACATATCCACACATAAAGCCTCTCTCTACATGATGTCACTGCTGTGCTGTCATATTCAGCTCTGCAGGTGAAGGTGAGCAGAATAATATCAGTCCAGCAGACTCAGACTGAGGCAGAGCTCAAGTGTCAAAGCAGCTGCAGTCCAGCTGGTCGTCTTTCTTACGTCTGGTTCAAGAACGGACAGAAAAACACGACACAGCAAACTTCTGCTTATACAGACTACTTTAATCCTGGAGACATCATCTCCTGTGCTTTCTCTGGATACGAGGATTACCGCTCTCCATCAGTGTGTGAGTTTAATTCACTGTGTCACCAACAACATATCACAGCTCCAAGCCAGCTACAGTTTATCATGCTGTAATGTTACATGAGTTTAAACGCCAACTTTAATAAAGAAATATTTTATCTGCAGATCCGTCAAAGCTTCCCTCTGTGTCAGTGAGTCCCTCTGGTGAGATAGTGGAGGGCAGTTCAGTCACTCTGACCTGTCGCACACATGCTAATCCAGCAGCTAATAACACTTTGTACAAAGGCAACCAAATCTTGCCTCTAACACCAGAAGGTATTTATAATTTCACCTCCATCAGCTCTGAGGACAGAGGCATCTACCACTGCAAGACTGAGGATCAGCTCTCTGTGTCTTTATTCATAGATGTCCAGTGTAAGTAAACAGCAGCAGATTGATCTGTCTTGATAACAGTTTCCTGTAATGTTTTCATTCTTGGTGGAAATTTTCTCACACTGAATATAAATAATTTTTCTCGGTTTCCTCCAGATGCTCCAAAGATTCCCTCTGTGTCAGTCCGTCCCTCTGGTGAGTTAGTGGAGGGCAGTTCAGTGACTCTGACCTGTAGCAGTGATGCTAACCCAGCAGCTAACTACACCTGGTACAAGGAGGATGATAACTCAGCAAAAGCATCTGGACAGAACTTCATCATCACTGACTTCAGACCTGAACACAGTGGGAGTTATTACTGTGAAGCCCAGAACACAAGAGGACGTCGCAGCTCCACCTCCCATCATCTCACTGTTGTGACAGGTAAGTTACTGATGCACCTGATGTTGAAACTGATAATATTATTGTTTGGTTTTCACCTCACAATAAAAACTACTGTGAGGGGACTGTTGTAATTTTTCACAAATAAAATTAAACTGAAAAAAAAAAAAAAATCCTGGAATCCTCGATTATCCAGTTTTGGTTTTAGTTCACAGCATTAAGTCCTGATATTCTAACATTTTTAGAGAAAATTGTATTATTTAATGATCAATCACTGATTAACCCATCAAGTTCAATGTTTTTGTTTCACTTACTTCCAGGCTCATGGGAACTTCCTGTAATCCTCTCAGTCTCTGTTACTGCTCTGGTCATCATACTCCTCTTTCTCCTGCTCTGGATTAGGTGGGATGTTTTAATAACTGATTTGGATTTTAAAGGTGTTTTTTGTTCAAGTCAATCTTAAGACAATAGTCAGAAATATTCAACTTTGATATGTTAGTCTCATAACCTAGTTTTTCTCAGGTTTGTGTGATTTCATGGCATCTTTAACAAAAACATGTGATGTAATCCTTCAGCGTTGTCGGGGTTTTGCAAAATGTAATCACAATTGTTGCAACCTTTTGGGAATGAACAAAACATTGAAATGACTTCATCTGACAGATATTAATTCTGTAGATGTACAGGTTCACACTGAGAGCACAGAAAAGACCAAAAACTAAGAGATCATTTTATTAGTCAACTCCAGAAACTTAAAGTTCTCTGAGACTTTGTTGACAATGTCATTGACAAGTTTAAAAGTTATGGTACATGGTGTGAAGCTGATCAGTTAGTACAGATTATAAGAACATCGCTAAACAAGCAAGCAAGCAATAAGTGCTGGAAAAACATACAGCAAAGGGTTTGTGTAGCATTAAAACTTATGACTAACCATCTCAGTCCATGGATTTCACTCGTTTTGAAAATTGCAGAATAATTGTGAGCCAAAACCTTTTATACTGGCAACAATTTTAAAAGAGAGCTGCATAGAGATATGGCCTTATATCTAATTTTGACTTCCTTTGAATGTTTATCCAGACTTTTCTGCACTTTTCTGATATATTTACATTACAACTTATGCTCATAACATCACTTTCCTGCAGGTTAGGTTGGCTGAAGACTGCTTCTGTTAGCTGTGATAATTTATCTTGTTCATAGTTTGGGAATTTATTCCACTGGACATTTGTATCATTAAAACATGAATCCATCCTGTTTGCTGAAATGTGTATATTATTGTCTTATCAGAAGATCATTGAAACACCAATCAGAGGCTGCAGAGAGGCCAGACAACGGAGCACAGGTGAGTGATGAGACTTCAGATATTCCAGTGAAAACATCCTAAAACATAATGTTCAGACTTCAGAGTCACCAATTAGCTCAACCCATCACACAGACTGATTACATCCATTGTATCAATGTTCACCCATATTATTCATCTCGTCCTTCCACATTCATGCTTTTCTGCATTAACTTGTTAGCAAAATCAAGACACCTTGAGGTAGTAACAGATATTTAACTGTAAGAGGGGAGGAAGGAAGAAAGTGTTATGATATTAACGGTTTTAGTTTATTAGTTCCGTATGCAAAAAGTCAAAAAGCCCTAAAAAATGTTCATCCATGTGTTTGACAGACGGATGAAATTCAGTATGCTGCTGTACAATTTAGTACAAACCGGCCAGACTTTGCTAACTCCAACTCCAGCTCAGCTCAGCGTGACAGATACCAGGAAGAGAGTGTTACATACTCCACCATGAATGTCAGAAGTGCTAGAAGGTGAGCAGCTCTTCACACAGGATAACTGCACCTCAAGTTTATTGTTTTAATACTTTGCATACAATAGTAGTATCATTTTATTGTTTACTTCAAAGATCAAAACACCAAGCTGCTGTGGAGGATGCCTCTGCACTGTACAGCACCGTTAACAAACATCGCAGAGTGTGAACACAGCCTGGAGCTGCTGTGTGTTTCATCAGGCTCCTCTGTTTCTGGGGGTAATAAGTGACTTGCCATGAATATAAATCATCAACACAAACCTCCAAAAGGACCATAAAGTACAACCAGCATCTCTTAAATCTAATGTGAACAAACTTCTCATTTTATGTTTGTGTATTTTTATTTCTTCGTCATCACAGCTCATAACCGAGTACTTTGCTGTATGTATGATCAATTCTGAAACGTCTCTTTCTGTTGCTTTATCTCACCAGTAGTTAGTAGGAACAAAGATGTTATTTCCCACACTAACTGTATCACAGTTTAGGTTAACTGTTGTTTAAATATCTTGTTTAAAGTTCAAAGAGACAGATTAGTGATCTCTGGTGCCACCTTCTGACAAAAAAAGGTAAAGTTGTGGCTGTCTCAGTTTTTCCAGATAATAAAGAAATGGTAATTTATTTAATTGGTACTTTATTGCCCAACCTGTCCTGTATTTATAAAATTTCTGTTTACAGTAATGTTGGCAAAAAATTGCTTTTTTTATGAACCCATTGTAAAGGCTTTATTTTTTATGGTCAGGAATTTTTTCTATTATTTAATATTTTATATATTATTTAATAACTACTTAGTTGTAGTATGAATAGTAATGAAGTGGTATGTATCAATAGGGAAAAAAGAGGGCATGTCATGATGTGCATGAATAGTTGTTGCAGTTCATGTGGAAGCCAGAGGGGAGAGGTGTTATGCGAATAATAAAAGTTATGGCAGAAACCTGAGAACATGGGGTCACGTCTGCTCCATAAAGCCATATTGTAACATCAGTAAAGAGTGACTTGCACTTTTGGCCCATGTGTAATAAACCAAATAAACACTCAAGCAAATGACCAACGACTCTCAGAATTGCTGCTTCCAACAGGTTTTACTGGCAGCAAGGACTGAACTTTGCCTCCTGAGTTACACAATCAGAGTTGGAATATCCCAGTGCATGTGTATTCAAAATGGACACTACATGGTCTTGTTTTTATTAGCCCTAAATGCAGCAGTGACCTGCTTTCAATAAGTTACAGGGTCGGTTTCCTTTTCATCAAGTCTTCTTACAAGTACGTCAGAATTATCTCCTCTCATGCAGACATACGTTGAGCAATGGTTTAACACAATTTTCCACAAACCATAAAGGGAAGCTGGATTTAAACTGAACATAGTCGTGTTGGATGCAAGTTAAGGAAATACAAGTATTAAGTGTGACTGTGGAGGACATCTCCATCAATGTTCACAATTACCAAAGTGAATGACTACAGGCATTTCTCTCAGTCACCTGATTGTTTGGTGCAGAGATGTCAAACCAACCAAAAGTAAGCACAAAGCCCTTCACACCAGCTTCTTTTTCTCTCCTCTTTGGATAGCTTCCCCAGAAGCATAGGCTCCTTGATGGAAATATTTTTGGCATTAGCAGCTGCTCTTTCAGAGGATGGAGGATGTGGTGGAGCTGTAGCTGTAGCATGAAGAAACCATGACACAATTTGTTGGTCTACCTGCAGAACAAGATCTACAGTCTCACCCAGAGTCTTGGGCGCCTCACGTCCTGCCATCTCATCTTGGATGTAATTGGCCAATCTCTCCATAAAAAATGACCGGGGCGCCGTATCTCCCCAGGTCAATTTTGTAGCTAGATCACATAACAGGCACATGGACTGATTACCCTGATGTAAATGAAGTAACTTTGACTCCACCTATACTTCCTGAAAAGGGGGATCAAAGCTTTTCTTTAACTCCTCCACAAACAAGGCTTAATTATTGCAGGCATGAAACCTGCCATCGTAAAGGGCTGTTGTCCACTCCTGGGCACGGCCAGACAAAAGGGAGGTTAACTGTTGGGTTTAAGTCAACCCTGCTGGTAAACAAGCTGTTACTGAAAGCAACCACACAGTGTACTTTTTACTTGCAAGGGGAGCGTTGGAGAGCAGTGTTGTCACTCGCCTGTCTAAGCAACTCGAACTCTTCTGCGTCCACCTCACTCTTTTATTGACAACAGAGGTTACACATAATTCAGCTAACCATGTGACAGTTTCAAGGCAAGCATGTGTGTGTGAGCAATGTATACGCCTGTCTGTGTGTTTGTGTTTCCAGCTATACATACATAGACATACGACCTTTCAATGAACTTAAACTGTGTGTATGAGGTATGCAGAAAAGCAGAAGTAAGCATCAGGAATTTGCAATGGGTCATGTCTCAAATGCACATTTAAAGGCATGAAGTCTTGCACTTGGTTTCTAAATATATAATGGAAATTATAACGTCAAGGCTGCTTCTAACCTAAGAAAGTTCAATTGCAGAAATCAGTAAATGCATTTTTATATAAAGTCATATATATAAAGCATTCATATTAAATATTGTACTCTGAATTACAACTATAATTTATCTGCAGACAATACTGCTTGCCATAGCCATTACTGGGCTCTCCCGGGCGCCAGTGTGTATAGCGGAAATGGCTCCCATCATTCCACAACCAAACATTTTCCTAGAAGACAGGAGTTGATAGCATTATTTCAGGCAGGCCAAAAGATTTTGCCTAACCAAAGTCTTGTGAAACAGAGCAGTGAGCCCAACTCATGGCTCTTGGAATATAGACAAAGCAGCGACGATAGAACCAAGTCCAACCACGAGGACAACTGGAGGACATGTTGACCTGGTAACTACTTCCTGGGGAAAATAGTTTTATATGTGACTCCAGCTGATATTTATTCTACATTATTTTAGATAATGACAAATACAATGAAAGAAGAAAACAGGGCACTTTTACTCCTTCACAGTTATAAAGTGTAATTATATGTATGCAAGTGTAATTTTTTCATAATTATTAATCATATAATTCTAGTTATTACAGTAATACCTAATCTGTTTATACCCCTATTTTGAATAAAGTTTAGAAAGTCCTTTTACAAACATTCAAAATCAAAATCATATTAACTTATGGTCGACAGAAAGTTTCCAAAGGGTCCAGCGACAGAACACCTTATAAAACTTTCTTGTAAAAGTTACGGTGTTAAAGAGAAACTCTGTTGAAGGAGAATAAAACGCATACAAAAATGTATTGCCACCCCTTGATGTCATCATTGTGACTGAAAATATTGTTGCTTTTATATATAAATTGGCAAATGAAAGTTCATCATGTTCAACTAATTCCCTGCTCTACATGGTGTTCTTCACCTTTTGGAGCCATCATCTAAACATAACCTTGACTTCCTCTGCTGCAATCTTTCACTGCAGTCTTTCAGGGTTCAAAACTTCCCTGGATGTCAGCCTGGGCAGGAAGCTGAGGTTGTAGTGTAATTTGTACAGCATCACCTGTGATATGGCCAGAGGATATGGAAGCAAACCAAGTGGGCCCTCTGCTGCACATTGGAACAAAGTTGTTGCTCTGCTGAGTGGAGGAGGTCTCTGGTCCCGCAGTATACTGAAGGTCAAAGGGTTTGATTATCATACCTCAAGTGCATGTCTAACAAAATATCATAATAACGTTATCTGCCAGAAGCATCTTGGCACAGTGATTTGCACTACTGCCTTTGTGGGATAAAAAACGATCAAGAGCAAATCATAGGTTCTGATATGCTTTTCTTGGCAAACTGTATGGCGAAGAAAATAGATCTCCTTAGGAAAATAATTTTTTTTTCTACATAGCTCTGTCAGTTTTGGCCGGCGGTCATAGGTTCTTTCCAATAATATGACACGAGACTGGAATAAAATATATCCATGGACTGGCACTTTATTAAAGGAGGCACACTAACAACAACTTTTAAAACAAAATGTCTTCCTTTTATACTCTACCTATTCAGGTGAGCATCCGGACTAGCCCAAGTATAGGGGTTAACTAATCAAAATGAAAACATAACCCTCCACAGAAACAAACATACAATAACATTAAAGCACATAACAAACATGTACATATTTCCAACACGTACTATAAACAAACCAATAACATAAGCTTCAACCATTTCTATCTAAATTAAAACCCTCTTTAACCACACTCCCTAACTTGGCACACTGGTCTGCTCCAGGAGCTCTTAAGCAGGTGATTGAGCTGCTTTCACTCTTTTGCTCCAAATCCTGCAAGAAGCAACCAGGACAGGTGAGTACTTTTACAAATTCTCATTTTACACATATTTAGGTTACTGACAAATGATTAACTGTAAGCAGCTCTAACTTGGGCTCTTTTCTGACACAGGGAGGATGGCCAGTCCCCCTGTCTCTTCACTAGTGATGGTGAGATGAAGCCTCGTGATGAACTGAAGCTTTCCATCCAACTGATCGACTAATGGTTCTGAGCATTGTGATGATTCGTTTGCTCTACTGCGCCATCAAGTGGACAATTCCAAGGAAACAGGCTCTGTGATTATAATGATGTGACGTGTAAACCTCTAAACTGAATAAATAAATTGTTTTCATGGTTATTTATCCCGAATATTGTCTCAGTATGTCTGATTCAAAATAGAAAGTGGAAACTATCAAGACTGAGTTTTGGTATGATTGTGTTACTGTGTAATCATGCTTATGCACATCTGGATAATGACACAAACTAGTGTGTGGCGCTTCACTTTTTAATAAACTAAAAGACAGAAATCAGATTATAGCATCTGTAGTGTTTATTTATATTATGTTACTTATCATTTGTGATATTTATTACTGTGTGCATAGCTACTTTAATAGGAGAGATGAAATGAAAAAATCTCTTCCTTGCTGGTTCCATCGAAGAAGAAATGCTCAAGTAACTATGTAGCACGTACATAATCCAATTCCACAACACAGTGTGATGGGAAATCAGCTGTGTTTTGCTGTCCATTTTATTTCGAATCTGGTGCGAACCAGTGAGCCAGGTCCTGAATCAGTCACGTGGTACGGACTGCCCGCGAGGCCTCGAACGTCACTGCATACGTAATCAAAGCAAGCCTCGATACGCGCTTCACAAAAACTCCCCCGAGATTACCTGACACACAGGATACATCACTACTATTCATTTTTACAAGCTGTCAATTTAATTGTCAATAC